AAACGTTGCGTACGCACAAAATGGGCATGGAAATGTGCGTACGCAGCGTTTATACATCAGGCCCCAGACATCTATGGTACTGGTATTTATTTAAAGGAACTAAATAAATAAAGGATTTAAATTGATTTAGGGAAATAAATTAAAAGAAGAAAAAAAGAACAGTAAAAGAACAAGAATAAGATTTTTTTTGCAAAGTAATTTATCTGAACTGCAAATAATATTTTAATTTAAAATATACACCATTCAATTTGATTTGTATTCCTAATATGTTGAAAACGCAAAACAGAAAAATGCTATTGTCATCACATTCAATTAGACCTTGGCTATGAATTACATGAATCACAAATGACAGGCCTTCATTCAGAGCCTGACTGATAAGGGTTTTTGAGGGCCGATACCGATATTAGGGAGTAAAAAAAAGTCTGATATCGATATATCGGCCGATATTCTTTATGTGTATATTATAGCACAGTACCAGTAAAAAGTTTGGACACTTTCCCATTCGTGTGTCCAAACTTTTGACTGGTACTATAAATAGAATACAGTATACATAAACAGAATATATACAGTATACACATAAACAAATTTTTTGCAATGATCACTCAAATGTGGTGATCAAACACTTAATGACGTGACTAATAACGTAGAAATTTCACCGTGTGATTTGTGTCATCGTGACATAACTCATACTTACAGTGTTTGAAATCAAATTTAATCGTCCTCTGCTTTTTTCTGGGGTGCATTTTACCCCCAAAGCGCCAAAAGAGCAAACAAAGTGAAATCGGCTGAATTCTAGTTCACTCAAATCTAAATGAACAAATCAGAGAACACGGGCTGAAATATTGGTGGTGGGTCAAACAAAGTGCGGGGGACAGAGTCACCTTTTTCTAAAAGTGTGGGGGACATGTCCCCCCGTCCCCCGTGGCTGCTACGCCCCTGCTCTGTGGTTTCAGGCTTTCAAGAGACGCAGATGTGTACGCAAAGCCCACAAAATCAATGTTTTGAGATATCAATGTTGAGAGAGCCCTCTGTTATGAACACTAAAAAGCCTGTGCGCCGGAGCTCAACCCTGGACAACACCGGCACAACTTTACCCCTGTAGCGCCCTTATTAGTACTGTTGTGGGAGAAGGCTAAACTGACTTCTTTTAAGATCTGATATCTGTTCAAATGTCTTTTATTTTAATAAGGGCAAAAGATGAATAATATTGCTGGTGATCTCAATCCTACAGTAGTAAATAAAGTAACTGAATCGATAAAAACTTTACTGAATATATATGTATATTAGTTCTGTAAAACGATTAAAAAAAGGATGAAGCATTAAAGTTTTTAAATATACTTTTATATTGCAATAATTTCACGTTCAATCTTCAAATTAGTGTAGAAACAACAAAGACAGTAGATTTTTAATATTTGTTTAATGGCATCTTTTTTATGACAAAAGCTGAGTATCTGTCAGAATTCTGAACTGTCTGTGTTGTGTTTTTGCTCCCCATGTGCTCTGCTACCTAGTTTTCCCTTGTGTTTGATTGTTCATTGTTTCCAGGTGTGTCTTCTTATTAGTCTATCCTCCTCACCTGTCTGCCCCTTGTTATCTGCCCTATTTAAGTTCTAGCCTGTGCCGTTCTCCCTTGTCTGGTTTTGAATGTTCATCTTGTGCTACATGTGTTCCTTTCTGCCCTGTATGCCCCGTGTTGGAAGGATTAAAGACTGTGTTTACTGCGAATTCTCCTGTGTCTCCTCGCTCCTCAGTGTAGTACAACCGTGACAGTATCACTGATACCAATAAAACTGATGTCTCTAGGAAATAGTTTTTCCCCTAATATTTTACCATTGACTAGCCATTCAACATTACAGCATAATTGAGAGCTATCAATTTTAACATTTGTTTGACTTTAAAAAATAACAACTTCTAATTTAAGTAAACTTAATCTTCACATTCACATAGCTACCTGTGCCCTTCACAAGTAGGAAATATACAGAAACTGAATAAAGTTATCAAACACTAAATTCAATATAGATGAATTTTTAAAGCTACAAAAGTTATTGATTTCCTCTTTTTTTTCGTTTGTTCTTTAATTAACAGACAACACATAACAAATAACAAATATTTTTAACGTCTTACCAAATTTAATCATATGCATTAACAGCATTAATTTTGACAGCACTAATATATATGTAAACTTTGCAAGCAATCTGTCAATTTGTCACAAATTTTCAAAAGACAAATGACAGTGTAACTCTTAACCCTAAACAAACTATAAAAGTTGGCAGAAATCAAATAATCAAATACCATTGACGTCTGCATTTACATCTGCATTTACGTCCATCTGTGGTGGAGGTGTGCTATCAGGGTAATATCTTTCTAAAATGTCAGATCGCGTCACACAGGCAATTCCGTCAGAGCATGAGACCAGGCCTTCAGTGATGGAAGAATGAATTACTGCCTCCTACAATCAAGTACAACACTGAACATTGTTCTGGGAAAGAAAGTTACCAGATTCTCTGCATAGAACGTTCATTTCATTACAAAATTCGACGACACCGTTTCTCTGAAGCGTCACAGTCTAAAGGATAAAAAATATATATAAAAGCAGAAAAAACTTTATTTTCTGTGTGTAATAATACTTCATTGTAATGACAAATAATTGCACATTTGCTTAGCTGCAAAATAATATAATAATAATAATAAATAAAAAATAGTGCAAATCATCATGTATGTTACATAAGTTGGAGGAGATATCTAATTATAAAGTATACATAGTGTTGTAAAAGACAGAGTTAATCATCACTCTTTCGTCTTTCTCCAGATGTGCTGTAGTTTCTACTATTCCAGCAGGAGCTAGCTTCAGCTACTCGTGTCATGGGATGAAGGGACGTTACGTTTTTGTGAATATTCCTGGAACTTCAAAGATTCTTACTCTCTGTGATGTGGGAGTCTATGTGATTTTTCCAGGTAATTCAGAGCTACTTAACAACCTGGTCTAAACCCTTCCCAGGCGAATTTTATTTTTTAAATTTCATTCAAGTGGTTTTTAATATAGTTCTCTAGTCAAGTTTAGGTTTCAAAGACTTTAGATATACCCATACATTGCTCACATATTATTATGAATGGGAGAAAGCAAAACGCACAATTTGGCTGAATAAGTCCCGCCTTCCAAGTGAAACAGCCAAACTAACTGCTGTTAGTCAAGACTCGACCAGCTCAGACAGATCTGATATAGGGTGACCATTTTTCATGTCCTGGCAAGGTTTTGGCTGTTTGCGCTGTGCAGACCGATCGGTGTATGACATCCAAGTACCGTGAGAGAAATAGAGAGCAGACGCTACTTAAGGCCAATTCACACCGCCAAGGCAAACACCAACAAAAAAGTCTGTCTGGGTTTGTTGGATCAGTGTGTTACCCCTGTCTGCGTTTGTTGCCGTTGGTCGGAGTTTGTTTTCACACGACTAAACATGCTCAATCAGCCTTTGTTGGGTCGTGGAATGTCTGAGCAGTGTGATATGACTTTCCAACAAACGACAACAAACTCTGACGAAATCTGACCTGGCCACGAACCGTTGCCATGAAGATGCGCATAATTCACTTAAAGCGAGCTTCGCGTACGGCCTCTTTCATTTTATTCACCATCTTTTCAGGCAAAGAATGACATGCAAAGACATTTATAACAGTAAATTTTGATTGTGGTTAAAGGATCATCCATTTTTCCCCCAGTCAGACTTACAGTACATTCACACGGGGCATCAGAGTTAACACTTCTCATTTACTTTGAATGGGTAACGTCATGCATTGCCGAACTGAATCGTGGGTCCGTCCGCGTCGTGTCACTGGGTTGTGGCTAGAAGGGATACAGCAAAAACCGGAAGCTAACAATAAATAGATTTTTCTTAGATTGTGTTTTATTAACATCTACACCTACCCCAACCCTGAACCTACACCTTACAATAATGCAAAAATAGTAATTATTGTTGTACAGTGATATTGATGTGCGCATGCCCAGTAGTTTTTGCTGTATCCCTTCTAGCCTTAACCACATCACTGCCGTTGCTCGCGGCAGAAGTTGAACATTTCTCAACTTTTCAAGTGCCAACGGTGGCGTCAGCCATCCAGATCGACTTATGCAAATAGCCTAGCTCAGGCATTCACTAATTGCGGTCCAATGTAATTGGCTGTTGTCACTATGACGATCGCATCAGCGCCAAGCTTCAAATGCGCCCTCCGTCAAGCGTTGATGCCGACGCCCCGTGTGAATGTACCGTTACACCGTGGCTGCTTTCCAGTCCGTTTTTTTATGCCCTTCACTCGCAAACTTCCCTCCGTCTTGTTCACTCGGATGTACGTCATTGATTACATTGCATGAGTGCCCATTACTGGCGGAAGCCTTGGAATGGGCTGAACTGGAACGTCCTAAGCCCTTGATCACTTAGAATCAGCTATGGAGTTGGTTTATTGTTTACGTTTTTCCCCTTGCGAATTTGTTTGGTGCAGCATTCTATATGTATATAGGTATGTTTGGGCTGGTTTAAATCTTTAAAAAAATATATATATATATATTAGAGTTGTTTGGGGTGGGGATAAATTGAACGCGATCTGCGATGACGTCATAATCGTGTTGCATTGTGGTCTATGGAGCGGCCTGAAGTGTGCATATGAAGCAGACTCGCTCCCTCGGTCAAAATCAAGGGGTCGAGGGTCTGTCCATATAAACTTCCCTCGTTCACTTCACCAAGTGGAACGCACTTCAAAATGGCAGCGGGGATTCCCCCGAGGGGAAGTGTTTAGGGAAGTTCGAGAGTGCATGTCTAAAAGTGGAGAGGAACGCAGCCCGTGTCTAGACCGGATGCGAGCGGCACGGTGTGACGCGATAAAATAACCTATTATAATCAGTGATGCTATCTACACTGGATGCGGCACAGAGCGACAACTGTCGTGTCCGGTGTATACACGGTGTTACTTGACTCTTTGACTCAAAGTTTGTTGGTGTTTGTTGGAGCAGTGTGAACTAGTGATGGGAGAAACGAACCATTTTGAAGCTTCGAATCAATTGAAACAGTTGCTTCGCAAAATGATTCACTGTTTCAAAGCGCTCGAAACGGCACACGCTGGTGACGCTTGCTGGTCAAAACTGTGTAAATGCAACAAAAACTCAGGCCAAAACATGCATAAAAACAGATTTTACAAACCCAATTAAAATGCTTTCTCGAAAGTATAACATATTAAATGCAATCAAAATAATAAAATACCATTAAAAATGAAGTGTCTCTAAAATATGCGTCTTTAAAATAATTATTATTAATTTGCAAGGGCTTGTTTTGTTTGTTTTATGGAGAGCTTGTCTAAACAGGTCAGTAAGAGACTATTAACTACTACTCATCCTTTTAATTACACAAATGTCTCATTAAAAATGTCTACAAATTGATCAAACTGATCCGAGATCATATAAAAACCATAGACGCCGAATTCAGTGGTTCGCCGATTGATTCAATGGTTCACAGAGATCACCCCCCTAAGGCGAACTATTAAATTGTTTAAATGTTTCGAAACAGTTATGACGTAACGAAGCCTTGTTTAATGAAATCACGTGACTTTGGCATTTTGATATGTGCTCCGAAAAACTGTTTCAAAACAATTGATTCGCAAAGGTTTCGAAGCTTCATGAAGCAGTGTTTCAAAAGCGGCTATCAGTAGTGTGAACATGACAGTTATTTTTCATAAAATTCTAAATCCAACTTGTTTGTCGGTGTTTGTTGGCGTTTGCCTGTGCGGTGTGAATTGGCCTTTATACTTTAGAATCGCTATCACTGTACTTTGATGTCAAACACCGATCGGTATTTGCATCGCTTTGTTCGTTCTCTGTAGATCCCGCCTTCTCACACGGCACAAGCCACGGTTGGTCGATTATGTACAATGCCTGCATGTTATTGGTCAAACTACTTTTCGACCATTACCTTCAGCAAGTATGAAAACAGGAAAACAGAGCCAAAACCTGGATATTTTAGGCAATATAGAAAAAAGGGCATGTATGGTCACCCTATATGATAGAAATGCATTCCTAGACTGAATAAATCCTTTTCAAACACTGAAAGAGTATAAAATATGTTGACTAAAACCATTTCTTGACACTATGACATCTTCCAGATAATTTGGCAACAGGAAGAACCGTCACACAGTCGTCAACCTTTGGCCACTGGTCTGCTGATCATGCCATTGATTTCAATCCAGGTTTAACAAACTCATGGTCATCGTGTTCCTCAACCATTGTTCAGACTAACCCATGGTGGAGGGTGGATCTGCGTTATATTTACAGAGTCAGCAGAGTCGTCATCACAAACATACTAGACTGCTGTGCAGAACGAATAAACGGAGCGGAGATTCGCATCGGAAATTCTTTGGAGAACAACGGCAACAACAATCCCATGTGAGAATCTCTTTCAGTGGCTTAATATCCATAAAAATCCCTGAAGCACACGTAAATAAAGACTAGAAGTCTAAATTATGTTTCCTCTGTCTCTCTTTAGATGCGCTGTGATTTCTAGCATTCCAGCTGGTGTTTCCTCCACCTACATATGTAACAATATGGAGGGTCGATATGTGAATCTGTTCATTCCTGGATATTCAAAGTATCTTACTCTGTGTGAAGTGGAGGTCTATGGAGAAGGTGTGATCAAACAAGCAGATTTAGTGTTTTGGGAAAATAACGGCTTCACAGCAGTTGGAATTTGGCTATTTACGGTTTTTGAAAATGTGAAATTTCAACAGTTGCATGCTCTCAGCTTTCAATAATTTACTTCATAAAATGCATTTGTGTTTGTTTGAAAAGTGAAAGTTGTGACATTGGCCAAGTATGGTGTCCCATACTCGGAATTTGTGCTCTGCATTTAACCCATCCAAGTGACTGTTACCGACTCTCCAACCAGTAGGCAACAACTGCCCAATGTATTTAATGTCATCTAGTTTTTTTTTGTTTTGTTTTTTGTTTTGTTTTACATTGATTTTTGAGTATCGTTTTAATCTTAAGAGACAGATGCATTTGCACCGAAATCGCTGTAGATATGGTAGTCACAATCATTTAATGTTTTTATTATTTCCCTTATGTCTATGTACAGTATGTTGACTCTCATGTGCCCTTTTAGGTCCTCTTTTCCAAGAAGACCTTTGTGAAGATGAAACCTGAAATGAGAGTCCAGCTCCTGTCACAGGTGAGAGAGGAAAACATACACAAATCTCAAATCAAATCCCACTGACAGCAGTTTTAAGAGATCTGCTCATTTCAGCTTCAGTCTGCTTTGGTGGAACAAGGGTTTTCTGACGAGATGCTGCAGCGGTCTCAACCACCCGAACAGAAAGTGATGCGGAAGGAAGCTGTGCCAAGAGAATTTGTTCATCAAAACACTGGAAAACTGAAAAAGAATGTTGATTTTGAAATACAGTTATTAAAATGAATATGAATATATTACAAATAACAGGGAAAATGTTTTTACGATGTAATGAACTCTTATTTAGAGCTCAATGCTGTAAGAAAGATGCTGATGATGGAGAAACCTAAACTCTTTTCAAATCAGCTTTGATTTTCTTCATTTACCTGCATGAATATTCTCCATTCCTCAATGTTGATCACAATAAAGTTGTATGTGAAAATTGAAACTACCGATTCCTGATTGCTGCACTGAAGCAATTTGTATTGTATAAAGTGTCAAGTACTTGACAATGTGGAGGCAGTGTTATTAAAGTGAAATATATATCCATATATATATATATATATATATATATATAGTAACACTTTAGTATAGGGACCAATTCTCACTATTTATTAGTTGCTTATCAGCATGCCTATTATTAATATATTGGCTGTTTATTAGTACTTATAAAGCACATATTTTGTATGACCATATTCTACATCCCTAATCCTGCACAATACCTAAATTTGACAACTACTTTACTACTTTTTAT